ATTTCAAACAATGACGTTCCTATGGCATAATACTTATAACGACCGCGATATTTTCACTGCCTGTAATAAAATAGCAGATCTATGCGACGGACTTGTCCCTAATTAACAACACATATATTTATATGTACATTACACATATACGTTACACATTTTATGACAAACTTATAATATTTCTCCCACAAGGAAAGAAACAGCTAACAAACTGACAGGACAATTTATTAAAATGCTTTAGCCATGAAAATAAATATGGATAAAACTAAACAAGCAAACATAGGTCATACGACTGTTGCACGAATTCAAATTGCTGCCATGCACGTTGCAGAAAGGATGGTCGGTTGCATTTACAGTTGATTTATTAGTGAAAGCAAATCACTTGCTAAAAAATAAACGAAAATATGTTAAATTGAATGCATGCTAGAGGCAAAACAAGCAGTAAGCTTCAGGTATGCAGTAACAATATGCGTATATTGCGTGTGTCTAAAATGATCCAGCTCCAATCACTCGGTGTCCATTTGGTCGATATTACAATTTGCATACTCGTGGTCGTGTCTTCAGCTAGAGGCTGAGGCGGGAGTGTGTTAAAAACAAAATTGCACTTCATTAAATAACCATCAAAACAACTCAATAAAACACTATATTTCAGAGAGAATAAACGAATTGTGACCAGTGGGCTGCGTGTGTAGATTTGATTGTGGTTGAATGTAAATGTGTGTGCCACATATACCAAAAACTATATAAATATCGCAAACAACGAAACTTTTTCGATTCAAATGCGATAACATTGCGCGGCAGGCCACAAATTTCTGGTTATCCTCATATTTACTGCCGACAGACAAACCAACTGGCCCATGGGCATTTCCATCCAAGGCCGAACTCGAACCCGAACCATATTAGGACTTGACAAGCTACTAACAGTATTTTTGCAATGCTTTTAACTGCCGAGAGCACAAATGTAACCATATTAATTTAATGAAATGCAGTCCATCAAATCCTTAGCAGTTGGAATGCATCTAAAAGCGATACTTAGTTACAGTTTCATGCATGCTGTCCGATGTGTCAGTCAGATGTGTCAGTTCTCGTTAGTTTACTCGCTTGGCGGCAACCATGCGGGGAAGAAAGTCACCAGGAGTTGCCATCGTTGCAAATTGGACGAAGAATAAAAATGCTGTACGTCAATAAAAAAATTGTCATATGAACGTGAGTGGCTCTGGCCTAAAACCAATTGTATACCATTTGCCGTTTAATGGAATTTATTATTATATATATGTATGTCGTGCAGGAATCAAACAAAATGCTCAAGATCACAATAAGAGAATCTGCCATGTTATCGAATACTTCAAATTTTACATTGGACGAGTAGTTACTAAGTTCATTTTATATTGATGTATTTGGAAGCAAAGGTTAAAGGACCAAAATGTATTTGATAAAGGATAAATGATTTACGAAACCAATTTAATTTGTGAAACGTAACTATTAATCGAGCACACGCGAATCAAAACTCGTACTTTTATTTGTTAATGTAGCAAAAATCACACAAAGCCGAAAAATTGGCAAAACAGTCTTACCCACTACGACGGTCGTTAGACACAGACAAAGAAACACTGCGAATATCGACAGGAAGTTGGCATAACTAGGGAAATGAGAAAATTAAAGGATCAATACAGAGCAGTATAATAAATTGCATACGAGCTGGACGCAAAGCATTGCGTCGACGATTTGATGCTTAGTTGGGATGCGGACATAAAGTTATGTCCTTTGTCTCGTGCAAACTTTGGCATTGTTTAGTTGGATTCTTTCAAGCAATATGTGGTGATTATTAAGATTAATAATACGACTTTTAGCTACAGGGCGGGTGATGAGCTACCCAGTTGATGTGTTTTTAATGAGTTGGTCGACAACAGAATCACGAGCTTCGCCGCCGCCAACACCGCAGAAGCAATTAAAGAGCATCAATTAATATTAAATATTTCAGCGGCAATTAAATGAAATAATTCGTAGTCGCCATCAATCCAACCACAAAATGGCCCGATGTGGCCAATGAGCCGCTGGCTTATAGCCGTCAAGAAGACAGGCGAGCGAGCACTGACATACAATGAAAAACTTTCCCGGGTATTCTGAATGAAATTTTCATTAACCAAAGAAACCAAAGTGATTTGGTAGTAGCAGCTACCCCATCGCCCCATCGCTCCATCGACCCAGCAGCCAAGTTTCAAGTGAAAAGTTTTCGACTTGCGCCAACTGGACACATGTTACAAAATTCGCAAATAAATTTTTGGTACCGAGAAAGTTTTCCACGCATTCGAAATGCAAATGAAATGCGCGCGAATGTTGACAAGCGGACCGCGGACCGGGAGCGAAGTTGAAGTGAACAAAGTTGAACCGAAGCTGCATTTCTTATGAGCGACGAAATGAAAATATTTCAAAAACCATTTCAATTTCTCCAGCTATACTCGTAATTGAAATTTGCATTTGTATGATGCTTGCTTACAAAAAAAACAAAAGCAAAAACTGAACTTTGCCCAGCTAAGACAAGCAAAAAGAAACTCTGCGTCGACTCCACCACAGCCAGCTAACTGCCTGGCAAAAAAAAAAAAAAGAAAAAAATGAAAAACAATTAAGCGCCGCGTCGTGGAATTTTGATTGCAAATTTTCACACCAGAGAAAGCCGACAGTGGAGCATTCGTTTAAGGCCTGGTCAAAATATATCTTATGTTAATTTTATAAAAATATATATGCATGTATGTATATATTTTCAGCCACTTAAAGATCAAATCGTATTTTTGGATTCTTAATGTAACAGTGGCATTCTACCAAAATCCGAGACTGTAAAGAAACTAAAAGCATGGTGCACTAGCATACCAAGCAAATAAAAGCCAGAATGCCCTCATTTGCAAAGACTGCAAAGAATTCTAAAAACTTCCTTGAATCGAAAACAAAAAAATACCTAAAACTTTTACCAACCAGCATTTGCCGAGAACCGCAAATTGTTTTAAGTCAGACAGAAGGCTGAACATACTCGCGGAAAAAAAAAACAAATATTAGTACTTGTAAAAAGTACAAGCCTTGCAAACAACAAGGTATCCTCTACCTGGCAGCAAATTTTCAACAAGTCACCGACCAACACAAAACAGGCCAACAATTGTAGCGCACACTTGACCAAGAAGGCAGCTCCAGTCGGCAAACCGTAAATTTTATTGCATGACTTGATTAAATTCGCATGCAACCCCAGCGGACAACCTCAGCTAGACGGACGGAGGTCGAAGCTGGGTCAGTCAATTCAAAAAAAAATAAAAACCATGGCCTTTCAGGCTTCTTTTTCTTGGCATTTTCCCCATTTTAACGTTTTAACGTTTTAACGAAACTTAATGAACTTTCAGTGTCACAGCAAAGCAAAAAGAGTCACCAGCACCTTCTCCGTCTGCAGTTAATGTTATGATGGATATTGTGCAAGGCGAAAAGCAATTTTGAACTTTTTAAACAATGTTTGAATGTGTGGGAGCTATTATGAGCTCCGTTTCTATGGTTTCCAGTGACAAGCCAACTGGCTTTCCAACTGGTCTTTCTATGAATAGTTGCTTAAATATGCCTCACAAGACTTAAAAGCATTTTCAGTAATTAGAAGCAAAAAGGAAGCAAACGCTCGACTATACGATTCCCTCTATTATATTTCCAATGTGAGAAGAAGCATTCGATCTACAAGCTTTTATATATATTTGTATATGCATGTAACTACAATTCGTAAAAAGAATAAAGACAATATGATGCGCTTTGTCAGGAAGATCACAACTAATATGTATTGATACGATACCCTTTTATAATCATTTTTTGGAAACTTAATTTACGTAGGATGCTGAGTGGTTTGGTATTTCGGGACTTGGTGCTACGCTGCGCAAAATTTAACGAAGCTTAACCTCGTTCAATGGCAAAAAATCCACTTTACGTACACTTTGGGCTGTCATTTCGGGCGCAGCTCAAGCAGCAATTGTGCAAACGGGAGGAGGAGTTCAGTAAGTGGACGAGTGAGTCGACGGCACAAATGGTTCGGGAGTTAGCGAACTTTTTCAAGCTAAATGCAAGCAAAAATGATGAATGAGCTGCAGGTAGCAGCCACTACTCATGGTGGCCCAAGGCAAGAATTTCTATCGGAATGTAGTGAGAAATTATTCTGATTTTCGTAAACGCCAACGCTTGCCAATGGCTATGACAGAGTTGAACGTGTGTCATCTATAAATTATGCAAGAAATCTGAAACACCTTCAGCATAAAGCTAGATTACTCTGGATACACAACAATGAAACTGAAATCGAAAGTGCGACAGCCTAATACCGGAAATTGGTTTCATATGACAACGACATGGGCAGAGACATATGCAAAGACAAGGAGATAGTTTCGTGTTTACTTAAACCCAGGCGCAAACCGCAAACACATACTATATACCAGGTCGATGACACCATGGAACCACAAGTGTGATGAGTATGTGCGCGATGTATGTGAAATATGATGCAGATGATGTTTCTGCGGATCGATGAACCTTCTCTTCGCATGATAGTGGATAGGGACAAGGGCGCCTCTTTTAGTTTAAATGAAAGTGAACGCAATTAATAATAGAAACCAAGCGAAGCAATGAACTTGGCCTAACCAGAAATGTGTATATCGTATTACACATACGTGAGGGCTATAAAAACGCAACTGCGTCTACGCAATGTCACACTTGAAAACCAACAACGCAGCGCCTTAGTGCCCTGCTCTCTGTGCTCTCCAGCAAGGATTAGCTAGTTGATATAAGCAAAAGAACGGGTTATCAACCAACAGCATGAAGACACCCAGCGACGTACAACGTCGAAATTGGCAATGTACAAACAATCCATTAATGATCAATGAATTCAGGTGGCCCGGGCTATTTACGCTGTTGTTCTTATTCATAACAATGAGCCCGACTGCCGCGATAATGGCGTCGCTGCCGATGGAGCCGCTTCTGAGTGAACTGCCGCCAGCTTTGCTCTCACACCAAAACACCAGAAGCAATTACCATGACCCGAACATGGAGCCGTTTGCAGGATTAGCAGGATATACGAGAACACGACATTATTATGGCGCAACCACTGCAGCTGCTGACGGCCAACCGCTAGATGATGGCGTGGGCGACTTGGCAGCGGCACCATATGCAAATTATGAACCAAAAGCCGTCAGTGCTCTTAGTGGCGGCACAGCCACCGGCTTTGTGCCAACGACCGCGCTACAGAGCTACAACAACAACAGATTGCATTCGGAGTACGATGCTCGGCATCAGGGCAAAATCGATTTTGTCATTAATACGGCAAATTATGAGCTCGATGCCAATGAAGAGCAGCCCGACTATCAAAGCTATTCATATCAGCCACGGGCGCCAGTGTCGCCTCTACGCGATTATCATATTGAGCAATTTTCCAATTATCGCCATCCGGCTGTAGGCCGAGAGCAGGAAAGGGTGGCTCTGCACCAACGACAAGTCAGCGACGATAGCACGTTTGCTTATGGCACTAGTAGGCAGCGCCCCGAATTCGACTTGCCTGTCAAGCGACAACAACGGGAGCCCACCCAACATTACCGGGCGGAACCACAGCCGCAACAAGAGGATCAGCAACTGCTTTACTCTCAGGCACAGGGTCGCATTGCCGATCTTCCGGACAGTGGTAGTACTCGTAACTCGTTGCCTCCTATCACAACAAGTGTTCATCATACCGCATCGAGCAGCAAAGCGATCGCCGGATTTCCACTTTCGAAGCATATTGAGATCACCAAGCACGTACCAATAGCTCACTATCAAAAACAACACGTGCCCTACAGGCAGCCGGTTCAGATACGCGTTTCCCGACCTGTTATCGCGGCCATCCCGAAGCCAATTCCTATCAAGATACCCGTCTCGAAGACAGTGGCCGTGCCTCAACTTCAGGAAGTCAAAATACCATTGGAGAAAGTTAAGCCAGTGGCTGTAGAGCGACCGATTCCATTTGTCGTGGAGCGGCGGGTACCCTACCGAGTGGAAAAGCCAATAGCTACTCCCGTCTACTATCCGTATCCAGTTAAAGTGCCTATTGTACGGACAGTGGTGCACAAACAAAATCCTCAATACGCAATACCCACACAGGGACTAGGAACATACGGAGGATGGAATTCTGGTAATCATCTACTGGGATAAACAGTATCTACAAATCAAACAAAATGATATTTATATAATTTCAGTTTTTATTTTATATACCTACTAGCCATAAATAAAGTAGAGATTCTATACGAAACTTATAATAGTGAGCTTATATGGAACAAAGTATATAGTAATATAAGTATTTTGTACGACGGCATACAGGTATTATGTGTTTATGTGTGTGTATGCATGTGTGCGTGTGGGTGTGTGTGTTAATGTATGCATGCATGTATGTATGCATTTATGAATGTATGTATGCACGCATGTTTGTTTTCTAATAACAAACGCAGACCAAGCGTATTTGCCGCTGTGCTGCAAATTTAAATAAAATTAATTTCTACCAAGTGCTCTACTCCTCGATTCTCAAGAATTCAAGTAGGATCTGCAGTTTTGATGCTTAGCTAGTAGAGTAGTATTTTTGTTGTTGTTTTTGTTTGGTATTTTTGTTGGTGTTTTTCTTTTTTTTTGTGTGCGTGTATGTAGGTATGTATGTATGTATGTATGTATGTATGTATGTATGTATGTATATATGTATGTATGTATGTATGTATGTATGTATGTATGTATGTATGTATGTATGTATGTATGTATGTATGTATGTATGTATGTATGTATGTATGTATGTATGTATGTATGTATGTATGTATGTATGTATGTATGTATGTATGTATGTATGTATGTATGCATGCATGTATGCATGTATGCATGTATGTATGTATGCATGCATGCATGCACGTATGTATGTATGTATGTATGTATGTATGTATGTATGTATGTATGTATGTATGTATGTATGTATGTATGTATGTATGTATGTTTGTATGTATGCATGTATGTATGTATGTATGTATGTATAAATGTTTGTATGTATGTATGTATGTATGTATGTATGTATGTGTATGTGTTCATGTAAGTATTCGGGCATGTAGTCCTTCATGTACATTTATATAAAACAAACATGCACACATGTATGTACAAACAGGTATACATATTTGTGCAGACTTAAAGCACCGCCCAACAAATCTTTTAATCGCATTTGCCACCGAGGAAGCTTGGATTCTGCAAAAAGTGAGAAACACGTTTTAAATGAATTTTCGCGAAATTCCGTCTAAACGTGCACCTTCATCAGAAAAGGTAACTACAGTGAACATTTCAGCTTTATAGCTCTTACGGTTTGGGATATGCGTCGATCACCAATCCGTCAGTCAGTCAGTTAGGACAAATAGTTTTATATATAGAGATTATTATATGAGTGACTTTACCATGTTGAATATTTAATAATAATTTATTTATATGGTTTTAAGCCGTCCATGTAAAACACTGTTTAGTCACCAGCTTTTAACCCTGGGTGTCTAGAACAAAATAATTGCAATTAAAGCAAGAGAGGACTACAAAATTGCAATGCAACTCAAAAACTTTCTCCCCCGCAGCTCAGCAGAACTGAGTAGAGCATAGCCAAACAAGACATTGAAGTCAGAGTCAGAGGCCAACCTCCAAATGAAGAAAAGTAGCCAAGTAAAACTTTTTAATTGAGCTAAGATCCAACAAATGCGGCTAATAAATATGTATTGAAGTGCGGCACAGCGACGGGTATGCAATGCAAAGGGACTAGTGTAAGAGAATGCAGCTGCTAATTGCCAAATGTAACTTCAACAACAACAACAAAGCACGTAACGAAACACAACAACAATTCTGCACTAAATAAACGCGACGTTCAACTTCGGAAGGGCGTTAACAGAACAGCAACAAAATTAGCCAAAAAGTAAAGTCTTGGCCCAGCTTGTAGCTTGAAGCGTTTCGGGCGGTAGCTGATGGAATTGCTGCAAGTTATTGCTGACTAATGAAATTAACTCTAATTGACTCGGAAGTCTGGTGCTAGAGCTTGTTGCTGCTACTATGGCAGCATTCTTTAGCATTTTATTTATATAATTTCAACATTCTTAAAGTTACCCAAAAACAATGGATTATAGCTTATATGATAAAAGGTCGCAAGGAAATAATATATAGGACTGGCATATGCCGACGGAAAGAAAACGAACCGAAATTTAAAATTTAAATTATTACCCTTCAAAAATAGACCTAATAATCAGTTAGTATAACAAATGAACTATTTTGTGGCTTATCATAGACATGCAGGCGCGCACATCTGTATATACATACATATATGTTCTACATAAGTTTGTGTGTGTCACAGTGCACATAAATTTATAATTGCAGTACCCGCAAAACCACTTCGTTAAGAATACTGTGGCTAGTTTGACAACTGTCCCGCAACTGGCCAGAACCCGGCGAATGACGGCGGACGGCAAATACGAAAGCCGCAAATCGCAATGAACATGCATGCACGTGGTCAAATTGACATCCAGCACGCTGCTGATGAGGCTGGTTAAACAGTAGTATGGCGCTATTGGGAAAGTTAGAGTGTGTCTAGTTGTACATCGTATATTCAATTATAAGTATGCATGTATGCCTGTACATGTGAACACCATGTTGCCATCTGTGATTGCTTACCATTAATTTGTCACGCACACGCCACATACCTGTAAGGAGTACAGGTATGAACCCTTTTTAGTAGAACCCTCTAGCATGTCATCGATGCGTCATAGAAGGAAGTTTTGTTGGTACATCACTGTAAAAAAACGATGGCAAATTTCAAAGAGCACATATCTTTAGAAAGTCGGATTTGAGAGCGTAGGCGGCGGTCGAGCATCAAAATGACTTTATAATTTGGCAAATGACTCCGCACTTTGTGTAGAGCGAACGCGAAATGAAGCAGAAGCGTATGCCAATGGGGTTGCTAAACATTAAAAATTAATCAGCACTTCCACCTCAAAACTTTGATAATTTCTGCGTTGCTATAACAACAAGGAGCAACAACCTGAAAGGATTAAACGCCAAATGGTTGGCTGGTGCGCGAAATATGGCGACAAAAAGAAGCGTTTTTGAAAAATGACAGCTAAACTGCACCGAAAACAGTTGGTGCCCTTCGCCAGACCGCAGCTCTAAAACTTTTAACCCATTTCGAGGGACGCGCGGACCCCTTTCAAAGTTGGCCAGGCCAGCCAGCTTTTGGTTTTTCAAATTTATGTGCGACATAAAATTTTCGACTCAGGTGGCTGTAATTTTTGATGTTAACACCGACCGGGCTGCGTTACTTAGTGTTAATATACTTTCTGGCTTGCTTGATAGCTTTAATTGGTTCGCTTGCGTCACAAACTCGCAAGAGGAACTGTGTACTGTACTCAAATACAAGCGGAACTTTTCTCAGCTTATGGACATAAAAGGCGGTCAATTTTTCGGACGTTTACTTGGCGTATGAGTGATATTTCATGTTAGAAAATTTATGCGCTGCTTGTTTGCATAGACCTGTGTTTGTATGTGTGTGTGTTTTGCAAAACTAAAGTGCAGCTAGTGTGTACATTTTGCGATTACCATAAATTATTTACGCTTCACTTTAAAATCTTTAGCGCACACAACCATAATGTTGGCAAGGACATATACACCCATATTCATAGGCAGCACAAAAAGGCATAAAAGGATTTATGTCAACTGACACACAATAGCGCAGTTTCATGAGAACGATATGGAAGCATGGCCGAAGCCTTTTAGTTAGAATTCAAACTTTATGCACAAACAACTACTCAGGCGAATAATTGTTATTAAAGGTCGCAATTAAGATACTAAAGGACAAAATGGAGGGGCAACTTGAGCTTGGACAGCTGTGCCGGGGCAGCCTTAAAATTTGAGCATTGCCATTTAGAAAGCAGCTGCAAAGTTTTTGAGCTCTACATACATTTTTCATGACACATTATCCAAAATTTAAAAACTACTACGTTCCTAGCTGCTCAGGTTCTCATCAAAACTCTTTCTGAACTAGAAACACTCTGTTTCATGCGAAAATGTATTCCGTTGCACCCAAGTCAGCCTGTTTGACAATTGCTACAGAGGAATGCAATTCCATAATTCTGATCTAGACACTGACTCAGCTGCACTCATTAGTTTTCAAACTTAACAGCTGCAAAAGCAAACAAGCCTGACTCATATTTCAACTGCGGCTATTATTCAAGTTACCCAAAGAGCGACACACGCATAATGAGGAAAAATTGTTAACAACAGGTCGTGCAGAAAAGCAAACAAATGTTCCAAACATGAAACAATTACTGAAGACCTGTTATCAAGCTGAAATTATTTATTGCCAGCCATGACAGAAATTATGAACTCAAGCTATCTGGCAGGGCTCTGATATATATTAACACATAGTCACTCACTAAATAGATAAATCTAAGATAGCATTATGCATCTAGGAATATGTACGAATGACGACAAAATATTCCCTTAGCATATAAGGGAAATATGCCACAGATGTACATATTTTAGTCAAAAACATTTTAGCAAAATTATTTACTCGTGTTTAGTATTCTTATATTAAGTATCTTAAAATTAAGACTATTTCCTCACACAACAATTTGTAGAATAGTTATTAAATATAACAACTCCAGCTGTAAATACTTGTGAATGCTTTCGATACAGAACAATAATGGGGCATTTCCATACAATGCTATTTAAGAGAGAGGAAAGTCTATTTAAAGCTATTTGTATTCGTATTTGTGTTGCGCACACAAATGAAAATATATGCGGCAGCCATCTGGTAATTGGCAACTTATTTAAGCCATTTATATTCCAAAGTGGGCGTTAAGGCTAGACAGGCATACGGGCAATTCGTAAATCATTTTAACCAACAGCAGACACAATCCACACATATTTACCTATGTCCTATCCGTGTTTAGGAGTCTGTCGGCGAGTTTTAACATGGTTTCCCATGTGCCGTGCCCTCTGTCGCTGTTTAGATGGGCAAAACCCTAAAAATCCTATCACATCGCGAAAATCTAAGGTAGAAAAGAGACTACACTAAATTGTGTGCACATCAAGAAGTAACAACTTAAGCCTCCATCTCGCTGAGTGTTGTTTTTTTTTGTTTTTGTGGAAATGGGAATAAAACATACCCATACTTAGCTAGAGGAGAGTCGGCCCTAATGCCCACAAAAATAAAATCAAAAAAAATAATGAAATAATTTAAACAGTTTAATATGGATTATAGTGCGGCATATTAACAGAAATGTATGTGTGTATATTGTATTGTATTGGGCATGCTTCGCCCGTATACACTATGCAAAATCATATTTTCAAAACTTGTACAAAAATATTTATACGTATAAATAACTCGCTACAGCAAACTTTTTTTGGTAATATATTGCGTGCACAATTTGGAAAGCAGGCGTACAACTTTCATTATGCAAAAAGTTTTTTAATAATACTACAAACATTGTGGCTGAAAATAGTACACACACAATACTCACGAGCAGTCATTATTAAAAGCCTGTGTTTTTTATTTTGCCACTGAATGTGCTTATAATTGTGTTTAGAGTGTACAATTTTGTGTGTTTTGTCAATGATATCTATTGTACTTTCGCAAAAACGAATTAAAATGTTTATGGATATAAAATTGTTATTAATATTATTATTATGAGTATTTCTATGATTACTATTATTTTTATTATTATTATTACTTACAAGTTGTATTAGTGACAAACCATAAAGCCTAAACTTAATCGCGTTTTCCGTTCTTACTTAACCATATACTCAAGGTCTCGAGCACCGTCATGTGTGTAGGATGTGCAGCCGTATTTGACACACTGGTCCGAAAGCGAAATAAAAGAAGACTATTCCTGCCCCGTTTTACCTTCTTCTGCTTTCGTAATTTGAGGCAACACAGTTTATGTATTGCTGTATTAAATATTTGATAAAGTCACATAATTAGCTGTTGCCATTCAACATGCCTAAAGGAGAATCGGACTTAACTGTACTGTTCATGAATTTTTCCACCTACTTAACAACTGGCTAACGAGCAGCAAAGATCAGTACACGAAGTAGATATATATGCGGAAATCTATATCTGATGTAACAAAGAGATAATAATAATAACAACAACATAATAATAACAAACGCCAATGATAGTAATTAGGAAGTAAAGCTACCTTCAAATATAGAAAATATAAATCTGAATATTTGATGAGTTCGTTTTTATATACATATCTGTGAAAAGTGCATTAGGTGAAGTCTAGTGCGAACTTCTGTTAGTGGAATAGAACGGAAGCAGCCACCCAGTCAAGAGTTATCAGCCGTATTAAGTGTATGCACCACATTCACACGTATGCACACACTTATGTGGCAAGGCAAATACTTTGTATGCAAAATAAAGTGCTTCAAAAGTCACTTAAAGTGTGTCGCTGGATCCCGCCCAGCATAAAGACCGTAAAAAATGTTAAATGATAAATAAAATTTACAACCGCAACAACAAGAGCGACATCAGCAGCAGCGCCGACAGCGACATGCAAAGTCACAAGCGCCGAGAGCCGACAATGATATGAGGGGTGCAGATGGCTCGAGGATGGGTGGGGTGGGGTGGGGCTGGGCAGCATATGGAGCGAGCAATGGAGTTTTTGCTGCTGCTCGCTTTGTTGTTGCAGGCGACATAATAAAATGCAATTTAGACATCAAAAATACAGTAAATGGAGCGAGCGAAGAAGCAGAGCCAAGGACGTGGACGTGGACTACGATGAGGATGAGAACGGGAACGAGCACTAAAACGAGCACGAGAAAGAGTAAGAGAGCCACAGACAGCCACATGACTGACAAGCGGCTGGCAAAGGCAAACGACCACAACCACACACACAACTGCAACAAAAAGGCGTGCGCGACGCGGCGCGGGTTTGGTTTACGCAGTACGAGCCATGCAAATGCCTAAGTGTGCGTGCGAGCTGTACAAAATGGCGGCGAAAGACGCGCAATGCATGTGAGCAATTGAGTTTTATTTTGTCACGAACGGGAGATGGAGACAGCTAAATGATGAATGATATATGTTTGTGCTTCTATGTCGGAGTATGACTGTCTCTGTTTCTGTGCCTGTGCCTGTTTGTCTACGTCTACTTGCAAAATGCGAATAAATTACAATAATTTAATGACAGTTAATGGGCATTTAAATAAGCCAAACTAAATACTTACTCCTAGCTAACCAAGTTAGTCCAACAATGCAAGCAGATGTGCTGCACAAGACATAGCTGATTTAGCGACCTGCATGCGACTCGATCCAAATACTGTCACTGCAGTGTACTAACACAATACAGGCAAAATACAAACTGACAGCAGGTCAAGGCAGAGGTAGAGAGACAGAGAGATAAATGCTGAGAACAGCTGTGCATTCCAATCCGTAGCAGGGAAACAAAAGGTGTGCTCTTAATTTAATTAAAGTTTGCGTGACGGTAGCCCTTGCTGGCTGAGAATTGCTCAAATTGCGCCGTAGGCATAAGGATGTCCCGCTGCTAGATTCTACTGAGGATGTAATGGTCTGGAAATAGCATTTGGCAGTTTGAAAACAACAACAGTCGCCTAGATGAACTTCATTCCATTTAACAGAATTTCATTTTGTGCGATTTAAGTGAATAAATTTGCCTGACTGCCTCGATGGCGGCGTTGGCTGTGTACATAATAAATACAGCGTTAAATTACAGCTAAATAAAAAAGCTCGACCTCAGCTGACGATTTCTGAAAATGAGTTAATGCAGCGGTTTCGTTTGTTTTATACTTATTCCTGTATTCATACAAATGCAAATGGTTGTAATGTTAAATGAGTCACAAAATTGGTATACAACACAGGATTTTGGCTTAACACAAAATGAATTTTACAACTCGACAATAAACGCAACACGAACTGTGCAAAATTGCATGACAACGTTTGCAAAACGCTTTGTTGGCGTACGGGACGTATGAGTAATGTTATTATTACTAATGAAATGAATGTTCGCGATTGTGCTTATGTGAAGAGTGCAGCTGTTATTACCACCAGCCTTTGACCTTATGCAGGATTGTCTTAAAGACCGGCACTTTGACAGGGAATGGCTTGGGCACCTTGATGGGCAAATACTTGACGACCGTGTATGGTACTCGCTTTTCTACAGGCACTGGGATGTGCTTTTCCACTGGCACCGGCACGATGCGCTCTACCGGCACTTTCAGCTCCTTCTCGACAGCCACTTGTACTTGCTTGGTGATGGGTATGTGGATTGGAACTGGCTTCTTGATCGGAATGATAACAGCATGCGAGATGGGTATTTTGACAGTTTTCTCGACGGGCACGTGCTGCTTCTTAACATGCTTCACAGGCACATAGTTGATAATATCCACATGGTGATGTGACTGATGTGAATGCGCGTGACTTTCCTCGTGGCCACTTGATTCGGCCAGAAAATTGGAGCTCTGCTCCTCGCCGTCGTCGTGCTGTTCGTAATCACTTGGTCCGCTTGCTGAGGAGCCCGATCCTGTCGCTGACGCCGCACCTTCATGAGGTGTGAAATAGGACACGTGTTCCAGTTGCTGCTGCTGTTGTTGCTGCTGCTGCTGTTGATGGTGCTGCTCCTCAGCGTGATGCTGCTGAAATGCTTCGTAGCCTGAATTCAGATAATTTCCCACTGACATTTTGTCATAGGCGTAATGGTTGCCCGCCTGTTCCGGCTGATATCCCACCACTTTCTTGTATTGCTGAGCAGATGAAGGCGCCCATGAGCCTTGCTCTGCTCCGCCAAATGACGGCAGAAAGGCATCCGCGTGCTCTCCAGCCGCTGCTGGAAAATTGTAAATCGCTGAGTGGAGGCCCGCAGTTGAGTGCTGCTGGATGTGTTCACCACCACCGCCGTAACCGCTTTGACCTGCCCCTGTATTGCCGTAATCGTGGGCTGTTGCCGCCACCGCCGCTACGGCCGCGTCCTCATGCTGCTCCTCATAAATTGGTATCTCTTGTTTTGACGAGGCTGCTGCTAAAGCTTCGGTGTGCGTGGGCGCCACTGAGCCGTAGCCGTTGCTAATGTGTCCCATGCCCGAGAGATTTGTGAGCCCATTAAGCACGGCTCCTAGTCCGCCCAGGCTGCTATGTCCGCTAAAACCAGAGGAATCGCTACTGTAGCTGCGCCGCTCCCCTGCTGCCGCCGCATCATAGTTTAAGGCGTAGCGATGCAACATGGAGGTTCTCTGCTCTCCCAACGGCAGCCACCGATTATCGTACTGCGCCGTGCCTGGTGCCATGTTGTGGGCATAACTGCTGTAAATGGCTGTCTGGGCGCCGTTGTCCGTACCCGACGTCCGTGCCGCCGGCATTGATGAAGCTTTCGTCGTCGCTGACACAGTAGTCGGCACGGCAATCCACACAATTGCAACGGCCACAATGAGCGGCATCTGCGGAACAAGATTTAGTGAAATTCATGGAAATAGTTTTAAAAAGGCAAAAATTGCGAAAATATTCCAGCACTGACCCAGGACGCCTTGTCTACTCATCTAAAGCTAATGCATTTTTAATAATCGCTGAGCGACCAACAATTATTACCTACAACTGAAACTGGTTCTCTCCTGGCCCTTTCTCCTTACCCTACTTACCCTAATAGTGTTGGCCATTTAGCTTGGATTGAGGCTTCAGGCTTAAGTAGTCTTCCTGGCACTGGTCGGCAGACCTCGATAGCTGCACTGCTGCAATTGAAATGTATGCAGTTTGCATTTGGCCTGCGTTTTTATACTGCAGTTTCTCAGTAGGACAACGCAAGCAACGGCCAATGTTTTCCTATTACACAATCTGCAACCTCAGCCCCGCAATTTTTGTTGATAGAAGGCGGCCGTCGCGTCGTGCCACCAGCCAAAGTGAGTGTCTTGCATTTGTTGACCTGCCCGTTGCTACCTATTTCTTTCTTAATATCTCTCGCTTCCTCTAGCTGTAATAGCCAAATTTTAATAGCAATGCATTTGATATTGCCATTTCCAATTTCGCACCCATTTCTCTCTTTCACTGTGCATTTATGAATCAAGTTACGCGATCAATTCAACACATAAAAACCCCCCAAAAAATGCAGCGCAACTGCAAACCGAAAACAACAATCGGACTAAGCTAAACAATAAAGTTCAAAGTCATTTTCCATTTTCCATGGCGAACGAATGATACCAACAACGCTGGGGAATAAGCTGCAGGCGGCACGCGCCAAGTTAATAACGAGGAACGGCGGAACTTCATTATAATCTTGCCAAGCCATGATCATGATTCGTCCGACTGCGCGTCGTGGCCTTCATAAGCAAAACAAACTTGCACTCATTCAAAGCCGCCATCGTCGTCGTTGACGCGTTGTCATCATCGGCGCCTCGAGTAGTATAAGCGGGCCGCCAGCTGAGCTCAAAAGTTGTGGGGCAGCTTTGTTCGAGAAAGCAAACAGCGAACAGGTCCAAGTGGAGCGCACTTGATGTAGACTGACAAAAGCTGGCTGCTGGGATTTACCCGAGATTTGACGTTGCGTCCGTAGACTTAGCCAAACCTAACTGAAAACTGTTTAAAAATGTTCATTTTCTTTGTTTGGGCCACCTTCAGCTGCTTTGCATGCTCTTTGTTTAAATGTCCAAAAAGGTTAATTTTAATTGTTTGACGATTTTTTCATTTGGCCATTGTTTAGCGTATGTAAGGCGCTGAAGCTCTCCCATGTCCGCCTGGCAGCGAAGAGAGAGAGAGAGGGGCGCAAGGGGGCAAGAAAAAGTGAACGCCTTTTAAGTGCACCTGCAGACATGATGCTGCTGATTATATTTTTCTTGCCAAGCGTAACAGCTCGTTAGTATTTTCAAGTGATTTCCACTTATTTTCTTTGCCTCGTCTCGGCCTCAGCGCCTCAGACTTCAACGGCAAGGCGAAGGTAAGCGGCGACCCAGGCTAAAGGAAGTGTACTGATTTGAAAGGAAACAAACATTTTGGTGGTGCTTTTTTCCACTGGCCGTCACTTTTTTTTTCGCTTCGAGCTGCTGCTGACTTTTATTTTATCGCAATTTACGTTTACTTCATTTCAATTACAATTACATGATTTCTTTCTATCAGTTGGTTGTGCAATTTAATGGACGTAAACGCAAAATCGCAGAAATTATGTAACTGAGGTCAAGCTTCAGATCTAGTTCAAAAGTTTATACTAACAAAATTAGATAACACCATAACAGCACAATCTCAGTATATTACATTTAAGGAGCTAGACCTGAAAACATTTCCATTTTTATTTATAATTATTCTATACAATCGCTAAAATACAGGTGAGGAAATATCACAGCAATTTATGAAATTTTTCGTCCTGGCTTTTACTATGCTTCAAATTTAAAATATCCGTTTTTCGCTCATTTTCCGCCCTTGGCAAATAAGTTGAAGTCCATCGAAGAAAAAAGCAGAAGTTGAAATTAACATTTTCCGCCCCCAATGAAGCTTGAGGTAAAAAATAAACTTTCGTTCAGTCAGCCAATAAATATTTCGAAGGATAATCTTACGAAAAGTCTAAGATATGTATTAAATGAATTTCATTAAGATCTTTGCAAATGGCTTGATGCCGATCATCACTTTTGGGTAGAATTTTCGTTCACATAAGGTTACAATGGAAAAAGGGTCAGCTTTGAAGCTCATAAATCTTGGGCTGTACGTGGATCACGAATCAGCCAGTCAGGCAAATATTTGTATATGTTTAGGAAAAATACCTTTACAAATTGAAATGTAGAAGCGAATTGAAATGCTTTATAGCTGTTGCTTTGCCTTTGAGCCGGTTTAAAATTGTAAAAAATGCTGTGCAATATTTGTTGTCACCCGTATTTTTGTTCAATGCTGAATATTTCAATAGATATAGAAGTATATGAAAAAAATTCCAGCTTTTCTATAGCAGAGCAGGAATGTGTGTGTGTGTGTGTGTGTGAAATACCCATGGGAAAAGGCATTTGCATTTGTTTTTATGCATTGAAATTTTGCTGTTGTTTATTGTAATTCTGAAAGCAATTGTAAATTTGAGCGGAATAAAGGATACAAAGACAAAGAACGTTGCTAGCAAACAGGCAATAAAAATAATACACAAAAGGCAGCCTACCAAGTACTGTAACTATTTCTACCATATTTATTTGCATACATATATTTTGTAACTCTTTGAAAGCGTCACACACCGCGTAGGCATAAGTATTTAGCGCGAATTAGCACAAGCGGCTTTGGAGTCCCCAAGGGGTTAGTAGGAAACGAGGACCGTTACCCGAACTAAACGTGCCACTTGCAGAACAAAATTCACTATGCATTATTTGTCAAGTGTCATAATAAGCACAAGTATGACTTGCGAGGTTAACACACACGCAGACACACACACACACACGCATACACTCTTTAAGGCACACGAGACGACGTAGCGCCAACAGTTTTTTAAGGTTGTACACTTAGCGTGTTTTAGTGTCGCGTCCTGTAGTTTTGGTTCGCCTTTTATAAGCGACTAGCTAATTAAGATAAGTGTGCCTGATTTTCATATTAATTGCACACAAACGAACCCGTTGCGCTGCTCTTATCTCAAATGCGTGGAGCAAAGCAAATCGTCAAACGTTGCCTGGTGACCGATGTGATGTGTGAGTATGTTAGTATGTACTATAATTCCCGAATAGAAGTAGTTGTGGGTGGGGGTGGGGGTGACTGGCAAACATGAGCAGCGTGCCTTTGAAACGGACGTGGCTTACATGAGCATGTGTTTTTAAGCCTCGTTGGGTACAAAACAATTAATTTTATGCCACGCCCACGCCACACATGCTCACACGCGCTCAGCACGATTCAGCCTCCTGTGAAATGTGAAGCATAAAAGTACCGCAACAACCGGAAGCGGAAGCGCACAACTCTTTGCGCGAATTAATCACACAACAAGCACAGCAACAACATTGACTAAGTACAACGGCAACTACAACAAACGGTATAGGAAGGACACGGTCACGCATAAGCCGTTGGCCAGGACGGCAGCGACGGCAGCGGCTCACATTACATTGCTCTGCTCTGCTCCTAGCACGAGGACTGGTTGAATTCTGACCCCTCGGTTGACGGACAGAATTCCCTTATAGAGGGTCACTCTGTATCACCCCCAGACGGCAACCCCTGAGCTTATTAATATGCGTGCTTACACCCTTCTTTCGCCCCTTAACAGTGCATTCCCCGCCGGGGGTTGCGTGATACCGTGCTTTGGTGCTAGGTCGTAATTTTGATGTCCTCCTATGAGAAAACGCGCCCATCATTTACTCGTATCCGTGGGCCTATAGTATATATATTTTTGGGCATATTTGTCAATCATTTTGTTTTATTGTTTTTAAAATGCGAACGAGGTCGCCGCTGGCAAGTGAATTTAACGACCCGCCTCGCTTTATAATGCAAATTAAATAAACATGATTTTATATGATTTCGGTGCGTTGTCACTTGCCTGCATTGTTTGGCTGTCCGATCAGGCCAGCCAGCCAGACTAGCCGGAGCTGCCGGTGTTGCCGGTCCTTCCTTCTTCTGCCGTGCTAGTTCGCAGTGTCAGTTTTATGGGTCGTCAGCCATTTGCCGAATGCGACATCTGCAACGCCTTCGAGTGTAATTTAATTGAATAATTAACTTTTTTATAGCTGCTGCATGTGTGTGCGTGTGTGTGTGAGTATATATATAAGTATGCAAAACGTGTCATTTTAATTTACGAGCATTACGTTTGCGTAACCGCTACCACGGCAGATAATAAACACGCGCAAAATTAAGTATACGCCTGTTGGAACTTACTACTTTCTTGTACTGAGACACGCGAAAAACTTCTTGTAATACTTACAACTCATTATCTTACCTAATTAAAATTATGTTTCAGGCGGTAGCTGCTAAAAAAGTATGTTGGATGATTTTTTATATCTTATAGTTCCACTCCCAGATCGAAAAAATATAACTCAACGAAGATAAAATAGTTACATTAGCAACACTACATGGTTTGAGAAACCTGCAACACCTGCGGGAAGGTTTAGGTTAGCCGATTGTTGGAATAGCGAAATTAATTTATAATGTATGTAACTGCTGATGGTCTGGACTTTGCCGACAAATCGGTAGTTAAATATATAAGTACAATGCAATTGTGTGTACAAGAAAGCACATTTTTATCGTTTAACTTTTAAGTGCAAAGCCATAGTCTTCGGTAAAAAACTGATAGTTAGTTCCTCGCACATAAATCGAAAGTATTTCGAAGGGCTCCCTTGCATTTGTTGGCAGTTTTAGTACTATCGATTGGCATCAAAAAAATTTAAATCTAAATTTTGACCCAAATCGACCAAAAAGCAAGGGGTTACATCACGTTTATTCTAAAAATCGGGGTCGGTTCGAAAATCTAAACTTTTTTGATGATTTTTTTTTAATATCTCGGGTAAATATAGTCTGATTTAAAAATGTTATACCTTTTTAAATTCGGATCCGTACTATCAATTGGCTTACAAACATTTTTAAAATCGATGGGTTTAAAAAAGTGGTTGACCAAAAACCGATTCGTTTGTAAAGTCATCCTTTTTAGATGATTATTTGGAATATCTCGACCAAATACTGACCGATTTTGGTATTTTATACCATTTTCGACTCGTAAGGATCAGTA